TATTTTCACCATGTACTTCCTCATATTGTACTGAACTTAGACTCCAGAGACTGGATTGGAATGGATTTGATTGGAGGAGCTCTCCTCAACTATTTCCAACATCTCAAGAAGATGGGAAAATAATCACAGCCACAGAAGACACAGAGACAAAGGACAGGTGGGACATTGTCTTTGGCCCGTCAAACTAGATTCAACCATCAATCCGTCCTTCGATGTGAAGACGACAAACAATCGCACAGTCGTTGGATCTCACATCCCTGTCGTTAATGACCCGGACCATCAATCCGACAAACAATCGCACAGTCGTTATATCTCACATCCCTGTCGTTAATGACCCGTCCTGAGCAACACGTCACATTCACCAATACTTCGTTGCGGCACCTGTTCTATACATAGCCATTTCTGACTCCCACACACACACACACTAACGTGCCAAGTGTACGTCATCGCTGGCAAATTGGGGCTCGGTATCCAGCCCAAGATTACGGTGACGAAGAACTGATCTTATGGTTCGAGGATGACCTGCTCTGCCTCCTGAGCCCCTCGGTGATACGGACTGGGATCTAACAGACAGAATGATTTTGGGGAAATGGTAAGAGCAGATATCAACAGTTTACTTTGCCTAAACCTGAAACGGCTCCTGGAACTTTAATAGTACCCCTGCGTTCCAACTGTAAAGCTGTGAAAAGCTGAACATGGCTGTTTGGGTAAATGTCGGCTCAACACAATCCCATCCCCATGACAGAGCGAGGAGGAAACGCCATATGATATTAGACTCACAGAGCTCCACAAGACCGATTATGCAGGTGCTTCATGGGAAATGAGTATGCAGTATCCATTTATGATGGTCGTAAAGCGGAGTGAACCCTGATGGACTTCACCTCTTGCGGATGATGTTATCCGCCATTACTGAAACCAAATTTATCGCTCAGACGGCGGCCGCGTCTTCCCTGCAGCACTTGGCAGGAAGGCTCGACGCAGAGCAGTTCCTGTTTGCTCTCGACTCTCAGCGAGTGCAGCGGGAGCCGTGCACATCACATCACACAGGCCTCAGAAGCCAGAGTTCAGGTTTGAGCTCCATGACTGAGATGTTAGTGAGTGGAGACGTCGGTAAAAATTGGGATGAATGTGAATGGTTGTTTGTCTCTCTGTGTGGCCCTGTACAAGCATCCGCCTGTTGACTGCTGGGATTGGTTTTGTTTTAGAATTAAGGGGTTGAAATAAGAGTAGGTAAAAAAAAAAAGCAGGTAATCACAGTTGGCCTCGGCTCAGGACCAAACCAATAAATATGTCTGGGGATTTATGATCAGCCAAAAACAAAATTTCACACTTATAAAAAAATTAAATAATTTAAAATGACTTATTTTTAGTCTAAATGCTGAAGAAACTACAGTGTTTCAGAAGGTTGAGGGCTGCAGGTACGTTAAGGGGGGGGGGTTAGTAAGGATTTTAGTGTTGGATTCCCGCTAAGGTTGTGTAAACTGTGGAACGCCAAGTTTGTTTTGTCTACAAAATGTTGGTTTCTACAATCTCTCCTCGGTGTTGGCCAAGTTCAGGCTCCTGATCTAGAAAGTTCCTTAGTCTACACATGTGGGCAGAGGGAATACTGGAAACGCAGTAGCTTTCTCTGTAAAATGCTCTGTGGCTTTCGATGGCATTTGTCTGCAGCAGTTGCTTGTTAGCATGTGGGAGACTTTCATCACGAGTGGAGCTTTGTTGACGGATCAGTGTTTACAGAGCTGTGTGTGTTGCACAGACAGTGTTGCACAAACAGTCACTGTTCGCTGTCTTCAGGAGAGTCTTACCGTGGAGACAGAAACATGAGTTTGACAGGTCAGACCAGTGGGAGTGAGTCGCACGGCTGAGTAATAACCCCACAGGTGGCCGTCACTGGCTACGCTGTGCGTCACCATAATAATTTCATCAAATCATGGAGTCTGTTTCCAGTCACTGTGTGCACTTTTACATCACTTCAAAAATAAATTGAGAGACTCGCAATCCCAACAATACATTTGTGCAGTAAACCGAGTTCAAGAATTGATTATTTAGAGCTTTGAACCTGCGGTCGATCTGTGTTGCGTCTACAGTAATGTCATCAACAGTCTGGCTGCGAAACTGCTTCTGCTGTAACGTCAATTAAAAGTATCGTAATTAAAGTTCTGCCTTCTGTGCAAAGACTTTACAAAGCACAGGTTGTTCTACACATTTTTGTTTACTGAATTTATGTTGAAATATCGTCCACATATTCTCTGTTTAAGTTTTAGAAATGTTTCCAGTGGAGAATTTCTTCTTTGTGGAATTGTCTTTTACACCATCTCATCTGTGTTTTTGCCCATAGACAATTGATAAAGTTTCTCTTCTGTTTAAAATTAAAGCTATCTACTGTCCATCACCGAGTTGTAAAAAAAAAAACTCTGATCAACTCAAATGTATCACGGTTAAACTCTTGACAACGGCACAATGAAGCCTGTTTATTTAACCCACACATCTTTCAGAGTCGACGTTGAACTTCGTACGTGCTTCATGTAGTGTAGACGACACACACACACACACGATCCTGACCGATATCAAACGTGACAGTGGTGTTGTTATTGTAACGAGCAGGGGCGGTGTGTTTTAGCAGTGGCTCCTCCCAGTAAAACCAACATCGCACTTCAAACGGCAGGAGAAGGTTTTCGTAGACGTGAACCAAAACACGGCTCCACACAGGTCTGCTCCACAGGATAATACTGAACAGGAGGCTTTAAAGGTGGAGGTGTCCCCACATCACACAGGCCTCAGAAGCCAGAGTTCAGGTTTGAGCTCCATGACTGAGATGTTAGTGAGTGGAGACGTCGGTAAAAATTGGGATGAATGTGAATGGTTGTTTGTCTCTCTGTGTGGCCCTGTACAAGCATCCGCCTGTTGACTGCTGGGATTGGTTTTGTTTTAGAATTAAGGGGTTGAAATAAGAGTAGGTAAAAAAAAAAAACTACATTTTAGAATTAAGGGGTTGAAATAAGAAAAAAAAAGCAGATCATCACAGTTGGAGCAGGTAATCACAGTTGGCCTCGGCTCAGGACCAAACCAATAAATATGTCTGGCCTCAGTTCAGGACCAAACCAATAAATATGTCTGGGGATTTATGATCAGCCAAAAACAAAATTTCACACTTATAAAAAAATTAAATAATTTAAAATGACATTTTTAGTCTAAATGCTGAAGAAACTACAGTGTTTCAGAAGGTTGAGGGCTGCAGGTACGTTAAGGGGGGGGGGTTAGTAAGGATTTTAGTGTTGGATTCCCGCTAAGGTTGTGTAAACTGTGGAACGCCAAGTTTGTTTTGTCTACAAAATGTTGGTTTCTACAATCTCTCCTCGGTGTTGGCCAAGTTCAGGCTCCTGATCTAGAAAGTTCCTTAGTCTACACATGTGGGCAGAGGGAATACTGGAAACGCAGTAGCTTTCTCTGTAAAATGCTCTGTGGCTTTCGATGGCATTTGTCTGCAGCAGTTGCTTGTTAGCATGTGGGAGACTTTCATCACGAGTGGAGCTTTGTTGACGGATCAGTGTTTACAGAGCTGTGTGTGTTGCACAGACAGTGTTGCACAAACAGTCACTGTTCGCTGTCTTCAGGAGAGTCTTACCGTGGAGACAGAAACATGAGTTTGACAGGTCAGACCAGTGGGAGTGAGTCGCACGGCTGAGTAATAACCCCACAGGTGGCCGTCACTGGCTACGCTGTGCGTCACCATAATAATTTCATCAAATCATGGAGTCTGTTTCCAGTCACTGTGTGCACTTTTACATCACTTCAAAAATAAATTGAGAGACTCGCAATCCCAACAATACATTTGTGCAGTAAACCGAGTTCAAGAATTGATTATTTAGAGCTTTGAACCTGCGGTCGATCTGTGTTGCGTCTACAGTAATGTCATCAACAGTCTGGCTGCGAAACTGCTTCTGCTGTAACGTCAATTAAAAGTATCGTAATTAAAGTTCTGCCTTCTGTGCAAAGACTTTACAAAGCACAGGTTGTTCTACACATTTTTGTTTACTGAATTTATGTTGAAATATCGTCCACATATTCTCTGTTTAAGTTTTAAAAATGTTTCCAGTGGAGAATTTCTTGTTTGTGGAATTGTCTTTTACATCACTTCACGACCTGTGTTTTTGCCCATAGACAATTGATAAAGTTTCTCTTCTGTTTAAAATTAAAGCTATCTACTGTCCATCACCGAGTTGTAAAAAAAAAAACTCTGATCAACTCAAATGTATCACGGTTAAACTCTTGACAACGGCACAATGAAGCCTGTTTATTTAACCCACACATCTTTCAGAGTCGACGTTGAACTTCGTACGTGCTTCATGTAGTGTAGACGACACACACACACACACGATCCTGACCGATATCAAACGTGACAGTGGTGTTGTTATTGTAACGAGCAGGGGCGGTGTGTTTTAGCAGTGGCTCCTCCCAGTAAAACCAACATCGCACTTCAAACGGCAGGAGAAGGTTTTCGTAGACGTGAACCAAAACACGGCTCCACACAGGTCTGCTCCACAGGATAATACTGAACAGGAGGCTTTAAAGGTGGAGGTGTCCCC